AGAGTATCGAGCTTCCAAGTATTGTACAACTAGTGTATGGTCTGCTATCTTTTAATCTAAATAGTCAGAGATGAGGGGTTTTAATGGTCTGAAAAGAGGCTGGTCCTAAGGAGGGAGGGCGTAGACCTTATTCCAAATGACTTGACAGATTTTGATGATCCCTCCTGGAAGGCATCACCCTCCCTGTGGAGTATGTGTGTGTGTGTGGGGGGGGGGGAATGGGCTGAGAGGGGGTGGGGAGCATGGGAGGGAGGGAGGGTGAGGGAACTGGGATCAATATGTAACATAAGAAAAAGTAATAAATATATTTTTTTTAAAAAAGAGGCTCCACCTATATCTGCCGTTGTTCTACCCATTCTATAGTAAAGCAGCCGGAACTGAGCTTTTGTGTTTCATTTGGTACCTACCTTATCCTTTCTTTCCCTCCCTCCCTTCCTCCTTTCTCTTCTCACAGTGCCTCACTTTGTAGCCTGGGGTGCCCTTGAACCCCTTGTCTTCTGACTCAGCCTTCAAAGTGCTTGGGTCACAAGTATACACCCCAGCCCAGGACCATTTGTTACCTTTTCTCTTATTTGTAAAACTCCACAGTTCGTATCTTTCCTTTGGGGTGGAAAACACTGTAATTGTGACTTTAATTTTATCTGGGAAAAGATTATGGGCTTTAAAACTTAGCAAACAATTTTCAAATTAAATGTTGCCCATTTCTCAACCCCTTACCAAGAACAGCAATAGTGAAATCATTTTAAAATGAGATGATTCTTTAAATGAAACTACTTGTCTAAAGATAGAAAAGTCTGAGCTAGAGCTAGAGGGAAACACTAGTGTTTGGCTCTCAGTTATAGACATACACAAGTCTTAAAACTGGAACAGATATTTTATGCCTTTGACATTGCATAACAATAAAAGTGGTAGACTAAGTGCTCCATGAGAGAGAGCACTTGGGGGTGTGATGGCCCTCTGAATAAATGACTTTGCCACATGTGAATGGGACAGACAGGCCCGCAGATGCACTTGATCTCTTGGCCATTATTCAGTTGAGTGAAGCTTTTAAGCACCTCAGCCATAGAGTCCCTTTCCCTAGAGTTTCCGGTTGCTGCTGCTTTAAAATTTAACTTACTGGTTTTTCTTCTTTTTTTTAATTTCTTATGTTATTATGTTGTAGCTTTGGTTAGAAACTTTTGTGGGATTAGAAATGTAATTATTTGAATATTAAAGGGTTGCTTTAGAAATTTAACTATCATTAGGAAGAAGGTTTTAAAGACTGGAATTCCATTGTCTTACAAGAAGTACGAAATATTTATTGATTCCCAAATGGGGCTGAAGAAACTTTTCCTCTTTAGAAGACTGTGAATGACTCAGCGAGAGCTCTGGTTAGCTTGACTGAACCAAGCTGCTAATAGTTATTTAATGTTATTCGTCAGTGTGAAAGAATCGCTGTAGATTTTCTTTTAATCTCTTTGAATTGCAGGCTCATAAACCTCTCTGACGAGCCCAGCCAGTGTTGTCTTAGATCCCACTGCTGAGACAATGGAGCCACAGAATTCTTTTACCTCTTGTTGTCAGACAAACCCAATAGAATGCAAGGTCAGAAGGGCCCATACTTCTAAAGATTGAAAGATTCTTTTTCAAGTAACCACATAAATTATTTGATTTTATCATTATATTTCTCAGGAACCTCACTCTAACTATAATGCCCTGCTTTTGATACATAAAAGTAAAATTGGAAGGTGGGGGGTTGGGGATTCTCTTGTCTCATTTGGCTAAGCTTGTCAGTGTGACACAGAGTGTGAACGGACCTTAATATTCCTTGATATTCAAAAGAGTTGAACCCATTTCCTAATAAAGAATCAAATTGTGTAGTCACTGCACTGGAGATAGAGTGAGCACACCAAAAGCAGTGTGTTCTTTACCAATGGCTGTGGGTTGCTTTGTCCTTTTTAGGTTTTGTTTCCTCTGTTTTTGTTGGTTTGTTATGTTTATTTTTTCAAATAGTTATTGCCATTACATAGAAAAAAATTTTTTTCAAGCGATTTTAATGTCAGTTTCTTTTCTCAATTTTAGTAGTGTCAATGTTTCCACAGGAGAACTTTAAGGTGGAATTTGCATTTCTAGATCTGCCTACTAAACTGTTATTGCAACCAATAAAATAAATTGGGAGTGTGTGTGTGTGTGTGTGTGTGTGTGTGTGTGTGTGTGTGTGTACAAAGGAAAACAAGTGTATTTGTTTTGAAGATACCATGCCTGATTACTACAGAATTATTGAAGCTGCTTTGCTTTCAGGGCTCCTGCAAGTGTCTTTAGTACATAGGGAAGAGTTAAGATTTTTTAATTATAACCACAATGGTGAACAAGCAGAGATCATTGTTTAAAAAGAAAGAAAGACACACTGATTTGTTTGTACTTCTTCCTTATAATTGTAGTGGGGGTTGGGATGGTTGGGTGGAATTTGCTGTTTCCCTGTCCTTGGCCACCTGCCTCTTAACAAAGGATGGTGGTCACCCCCCACTGCCCACATTTAGATTCACCTTTTACTTTTCCTGTACTAGGTCTGCTCATTATACAGTTCTCCAGGGATCCAATTTTCCCCTGAGTTAATCACCCAAGCCTTTTTAGAAGTTGTTAGATTATTGTCTTTTCAAAGGACAATAACTCTCTTTAAAGTTATTTTCTTTAAAAAACAAAAAACAAAAACTTGTTATTTCCAGTTTTAAAAATGGGACCACTAGAATCTCAGATATACTGTCTTTAAAACTTTTTCTTGAAGTGTAAAATGTGTACGTATAGAGAGGTGCAGAAATCTGAGTGTTACTTGAAAGATTTCCCTCCATAAACCAATTTAGTAGAAAGCCCCCTGAGACTTGCCCCTCAACAGTGTAGGAAAGTTTTCAATACTTGTTTGTGTCACATGCTGATTTTTAAAACCACTCACAAATTTTTGTGCATACAGTATTGTGTACAAAACAATCAACACCTCCATGTTTCCATAGCCACAGAACGTTAATATATTCCTTTCAACTCTGATCTTTGGCAAAGAATTAACCATTTTTCTGTTCTCTTTTCCTTTTCCCCTTGGGATGGGCTGTGCTAATCCTCAGCCAAGAATAGGTGCTACGCTAAAGGCCCTGTGTGTAAGGGTACAGAGGAAGAGAAAGCAAAGAAATGTGGGTGTAGTGATAGAGTGGCACACGAAATAGTACCTAGAACAGAGTAGCAGCTGCTTCCCTGTAGAAAAGCAGAACAATGGGAAGCTGACTTACCTGGCAGATACATTTGTAAGATATTTCTCATTTATTATTTATTTTTAAATACAATGGCATCATAGGTATTTATAAATGTTTATCCTTTTAACACATTCTAATCTGAGTTTCCAAGATACATCAGGCTTAGAAAGCTGATTCCCTGAGTCTGCTTTGCTTCAGTTGTGTGCAGAGAATAGAAAAATACAAGATAAACTAATAACGTCGTTGCAAATTGATGATGCATGATCTTTTCAAATATTAATTTCTTAATTCTAGCTAAGTTGACCCTTCTGAGTAAGAGATTAAAACATAAGATTTTTTTCTGTCTCTGATACTTTCAAATTGAATTATATATGTTGGGAAGATACAAATATACATACATAATACGTGTGTGTGTGTGTGTGTGTGTGTGTGTGTGTGTGTGTGTGTGTGTCTATATATAGGAACCAGGTGTTGTGGTGCATACCTTTAATCCAGTACTCAAGAAGGCAGTGAACTTGAGGCCAGTCTGATCTACAAGGTGAGTTCCAAGATAGTAAGGGCTATGTAGAGACACCCTGGCTCAAAAGGGGATGGGGGGGGGGGAACAAGTCAGGCAGGCATAGTGGCTCTTGCCTATAATCCCAGCATTCAGGAGGCAGAAAGACTGCCATGAATTCAAGGCAAGCATGAGCTACAATAGTATATTCAAGTGTAGCCTGACTATAAAGTAAGACCTGGTCTTTTAAGGGAGTGTGGGAGAGGGAGGAAGAAGCCACAACAGGTGGGCAAGTATATTTTGTATAGAATGTAGAAAATAAGTTTTGTTTATGAACTACTTAGCATACTGTAAATTACTTATAAGCTATTCAGTGGGCATAGATAGATGGGATAGCTATCTCTACCACAAGAGATGGTCTGTCTGGATTTTAGGAACAATTTAATAGACTGTTGGCACTCAGTAAATATGATGTAGTATATTTGACATACTTGAATAGAAAACAATGAATGGTGTGTTCAAAATATTGTATAATCTTTTCATCTACTTTTAAATTTTATAACTTACCAATAAATTCTAAGCAGGCAGTTATTAAATATAATGAAGTTGCAGGCATGCATGTGGCAGAACAAAGGGATACATTCTCAGCAAGTAAACGAGACTAGGGAGATAGCTCAAGAAATTTTCATTGGAGTTAGGGGAGGGTGCTGAGTTTTAGTAATGCCTAAAAGAACAATACACACGGGAATCATACAATGCCTTTGAAAACAGAAATGAGGATTTCCCATCTATAGTTGCTTTCTTTGCTCAAAGTCTACATGTTTTAAGTGAGGCTTCATGTTTGTACTAACCAGACCATACTCTTATTATATGTAGATGGATTCATGGCTTAGACCCTCTATATGTAGAGGATATTTTTTGGTCCAGGAAACAGCAAAAGATGCACAGAATCCTACAGCTGTGCTATGGGATTACCAAAGCAGTAAAGTCCCTATCCATTTAGTGTTCTATTATTCTGCTATATTCAGATGGCCAACAATCCTGTTTTCGTAGAGATCTGCTCTTTACAGTACCTCTGGCCTGATGCCATTTGACTTGAAAAATATCCATTTAGTCTCCTTGAGCTGCCATAACAAAACACTGTAGACTGGGTAGCTAAGCAGAACTTATTTCTCAAGGTTCTGGAGACTGAGAAGCTAGTTTGAAGAGAGTTCATAATTTGGGTTTGCATGGCCATATTGGAGATTCCTCATTATCAAATTGTCTCATTGTGTATTTTCCAGAAGCTGAGCTAAGGAGTATGGGGCCAGTAGATGCACAGGTGTACCTTGAAGAAATGACCTGGAACAAAGGTTGGATTTGATTTGATTTTGTCTTTTTTTTTTCCACACTGAAGAGAAATGTAGGAAAAAAAAAAAAAATAAGGATATTTGGAAGTCTTAAATAACAGCTTTGTCTTTCCACATATATTTTTGTTTGGCCTGCTTTTATCCACATATATTTTTGTTTGGCCTACTTTTATCAACTTGGCTTATTTACTGAGATACCATATAATTAATTTTTCATTATTTTCTATTCCAATTAAATGTTTTTCATTTTTTACTGTTTTGATTTTTACATTATTATCTGTGTAATAAGGTTAAAGAAAAGATTAGATAATGATAATATTCTTCATGCTGACTATTAAAATAAGTTCTTGTCAGCTATTTCCAAGCCTCTCTTAAAATAATCTTCCTAGAGGTCCCTAAGAGAGACATACATGGACCTGCTGAGAAGGGGAAAGTGACAAGATCTCCTGAGCAAATTGGGAGCATGGGGAGAGAAGGGGTGTAGGAGAAGGAAGTGGGAAGGGGAGAGGGGAGAATATGAGAGATCAGGAGTTGGGGGAAGAACAGAGAAGGAGGGCAAGGGAAGAGATACCTTAATAGAGGGAGCCATTATGGGCTCAAGGAGAAATCTGGCACTAGGGAAATCTCCAGGAATCCACAAGGATGACCCCAACTAAGAATTTAAACAATAGTAGAGAGACTACCATAAATGCCCTTCCCCTATAATGAGATTGATGTAATCATAAAGCCTTCATCCAGTAGCAGATGGAAGCAGAAACAGAGATTCACAGCTGAGCACTGAGACAAACTCCTGGAATCCAATTGTAGAGAGGAAGGAGTGATAAGCAAAGGGGTCAAGACCATGCTGAGGAAACCCACAGAAACAGCTGACCTGTGCAAGTGGGAGCTCATGGACCCTTCTGACAGCTGGGGAACCAGCATAAGGCCCCCTGAACATGTCAGTTGGGGGTCCTGGGCAGTCTATGGGGCCTCTGGCAGTGAAACCAGTATTTATCCCTAGTGCATGAATGGAATTTGGGAGCCTGTTCCCTATGAAGGGATACTCTCTAAGTCCAGAAACACTGAGGAGGGCCTAGGTCTTCCGCCCAAATAATGTGACAAGACTTTGATGATCCCCCATGGGAGGCCTCACCCTCCCTGAGGAGCAGTTAGGGGGTGGGATGGGGGGTTGGTGGAGGAATGGAATGACAGGAGGGAGAAGGAATTGGGATTGGTGTGTAAAATAAAATTGTTTTTAATTTAAATAATTAAATAAAAATAATATTCCTAGTAAAAAAAGTCAGCAGAACCTAAGCCAGGGCCAATGAATCAATAAGAAGCATACATAGTTAATCTTTTTTTATTACTATTTTTTCTTATTTTACATATCAATCCCAGTTCCCTCTCCCTCCCATTCTTCTATGCCCCCCATAAACCTCCCCATCCACTCTCCAGGGAGGATGAGGCCTTCTATGAGGGATCATCAAAGTCTGTCATATCATTTGGGTAGGGCCTAGGCCCTACACTGTGTCTCTAGGTTAAGGGAGTATACCTCCATGGGGAATGGGCCTCAGAAGTCCGTTCCTGCACTAGGAATACATCCTGATTCCATTGTCAAAGGCCCCATAGATTGCCCAGGCTTTCTAACTGGGACCCATGTTCAGGAATTCTGGGTCGGTCCTATGCTGGTTTCCCAGCTATCAAACTGGGGTCCATGAGCTCCCTCTTGTTCAGGTCAGCTGTTTCTGTGGGTTTCTCCAGCCTGATCTTGACCCTTTTGCTTATCATTCCTCCCTCTCTGCCACCGGATTCCAGGAGTTCAGCTCAGTGTTTACCTGTGGGTGTCTGCTTCTGCTTCCATCAGCTACTGGATGAAGGCTCTAGGATGGCAAATAAGGTAGTCATCAATCTCATTATTAGGGGCATTTAAGGTAGCCTCTCCACTATTCCTTAGATTGTTAGTTGGGTTCATCCTTGTAGGTCTCTGGACATTTCCCTAGTGCCAGATTTCTCCTTAAACCTATAATGGCTCCCTCTATTATGGTACCTCTTTTCTTGTTATCCTCTATTCTTTCCCTGAGTCTTTCTGCTCCCTCATGCTCCCCTCTTCTCCCCTTCTTTCTCCTAACACCTTCTCCCCTCCCCCCTGCTCCCAATTTGCACAGGAGATCTTGTCCCTTTCTCCTTCTCCAGGGGACCATTAATGTTTCTCTTAGGGTCCTCTTTGTTTCCTAGCTTTTCTGGAGGTGTGGATTGTAGGTTGGTAATCCTTTACTTATTTCTAAAATCCATATATGAATGAGTACATACCATATTTGTCTTTTTGTGACTTGGTTACCTCACTCAGGATGGTTTCTTCTATTTTGCCTGAGAATATCAAGATTCCATTGCTTTTTTTTATTCTGAGTAGTACTCCATTGTGTAAGTGTACCACATTTTCTCCATCCATTCTTCAGTTGAGGGGCCTCTAGGCTGCTTCCAGGTTCTTGCTATTACAAATAATGTTGCAATGAACATAGTTGTACACATGTTTTTGTTTATGAATGTGCATCTTTTAGGTATATGCCTAAGAGTGGAATTGTGGCATCTTGTGGTAGACTGATTCCCATTTTCCGAGGAACCACCATACTGATTTCCAAAGTGGCTGTATGAGTTTGTGCTCCCACCAGCAGTGGCGGGCGGAATATGCCCCTTTCTCCACGTTCTCTGCAACATGAACTGTCATTGGTGTTTTAATTGTATATAGCTTAGCCTGGGGCTGGAGCTCATTGCGGCAGTGCTTTTTACATGCATGAGGCCCTTGATTAATCCCCATTATGGCCAAAAGAAGAAGAGGGAGGATTAAAATATAGAATATTTTCTTTGGTGCTCATTTAATTTATAAAGTTGGAAATTATCCTTACCTTCCTGGGAAAAGTGAGCAATATCTGTGTGAAGTCTGGCTTCTGACAGGAGCATTAAAAACTAATACAGGTTTGGTGGCTCATGTCTTTAATCCCAGCACTCAGGAGGAAGAGGCAGGCAGATCTCTGTGAGTTGAAGGCCAGCCTGGTCTACAGAGCTATTTCCAGGACAGGCTCCAAAGCCACAGAGAAATCCTGCCTCAAAAAACAAAACAACAAACAAACAAACAAACAAACAAAAACCAAGTACAGGTTTTAAACTAGCTGTTTGTGGTTAGAAAAAGCAGTCAGTGTAAGAAGCTAACAAAATGACTATTAAGAGGGCAGTTATATTGTGTGAACTTCTTCCGGGTCGTTTTCACAATGGCCTTGGGTGATGAAGATCCACAAAAGGAGAAGTTGTGAACATACACATGAGAAACATGACCAATAGTGCATTTTATTGTGCTGAAAACAAGTCCCTGGAAACACTGGGACATTTAAGTGAAGCTTTGCCTTGGTCATTTTGATGACTTCATCTAAAATGGTTTATATGAAAATACTGCTTTATCCTCAGTGAAGATAAGAAGTTTCAACAAGATGTGAAGATGAAATAAATATCCGTGACAAAACTCCAAAGTGCTCACAGTGGCTTCTGTATCACTTATGAAATATGTCACCTCGAATTGTTTTTATATTCACTGAAGTAGTTTAAAAATGTGTGTTGTGGGGACTCACTTCAAGAAACCTAAAGACATATAATAAAAACATATGCCAAAAAAGGATGATTGAAAGAAAGAAAAGTCCAGTGGCAAAACTAGGCATGGTGGCTTCTTTATTTTTTGAGGCAAGGTCTCACTATGTAGCACTGGTGTCCTGCAACTTACTATGTACACCTGTCTGGCCCTGAACTCACCGAGATCCACCTGCCTCTGTTTCCCAAGTACTGGCATTAAAAGATTGGGTCACCAAACCATGCAAGGCATGGTGGCTTCTAATCTTAGCCTGTCATCCCAGCAATTCGGAGGCTAAGGCAGGAATATTGCAGAATTCAAGGTCAGTAATGGCTACTCAGTAAGACCCTGTCTCAAACAAATAAAAAATAAATAAAATAATAATATTTTTTAAAAAAGCAAAGAAGAGCAAGGAAAGAAAAAGAAAAGGCTTGACATATGGATCCAAAAACCTACATGGTAGAAGGATAACCAACACATATACTTTATCTTCTGACCTCTACACACATGCCATTGCACATGCACGATACAATAATACAACAGTAATAATAATAATAATAAATAAAAAAATTTAAAAGAAAACCAATTTTCAATAGTTTTAACATTAATATAAACTATTCACTTTGAAAACATGCTTTCATTAGTTATGTATATCTTATATATGTTTTATTATATAAATACAAACACATATAATATATATATATATATATATATATTATGAATGAGAGAGGTGTTGTTTTTTTTTTTTTTTTTTCCCCTGAGACAGGGTTTCTTTGTATAGCTTTGGATATCCTGGAACTCACTTTGTAGACCAAGCTGACCTTGAACTCAGAGATTCACCTGCCTTTGCCTCCTGAGTGCTCGGATTAAAGGCAGGCACCACCATGACTGGCTGATATTTGCATTTCTAAATTTGAAATTAAATTGGTTTTGTTTGTTTATGGAGAAAACCCACATTTTGATAAAGAATTAAAAAAAGAACATATTTAATTTTTCCTTTTTGAGAAAGCAGCTCATAAAGTTGGCTTAATTGCCTATTTTTCCAAGACTGCATTTTATCCAGAGCAAGCACAAGGCAGCTGAATTGCATTTCACAATGCAGTTCACAATTAGAGTGAGTTCTAACTGTAGTGGATTTTGAGAGTCAGCTGTAGGATCCTGTGCCTACTGGACACCACTTGTCTAAGTTATGAGTGCAGTAAAAAGGATTATGACCTGGTGAGATCTGATGACTGATACTTGCCAGAGACAGTAAACTAGAACAGCAGTGGGATCAGAGTTTTTTATTCAAAGGACAATAGCATCTAAACTTCCCATGTCCACCATTACTAGCAGGTGTGTGGGTACCTGCACACAATCATGGCACCCAAAGGCTGTCAGGATCACTAGAGTTCAAGGCCACCCTGTGCTACATACCCTAACTCTGACTTTACAAATAAAATTTAAGGAGCTGGCAAAATGGCTCAATGAATAAAGGCACTTGTGGTCAAGGTGACAACCCAAGTTGGATTCCCAGAATCTACATGGTAGAAAGGGAGAACTGGCTCCCACAAGGTGTTCTGTGACCTCCACATTCATGCCATACCATATGTTGTATGTATCTCTCTCTCTCTCTCTCTCTCTCTCACACACACACACACACACAACTGTAATACATTTTAAAAGTACAAAGTAAAATTTAAAATCCCATCATCAGTTGTACTTTTTGCATGTGATTTTCCTATAGTACTTACCATTTCACAAAGCAACAGATACTAACTCACAGGAGAAAGTAATAGCATTGTATTGTATTCAGTTCACATGATTGAGAATGGCATGGGCAGCTTGAGGTAAACAATTACAGTGGTCACCTTCTCTAGGAGAGACTTCAGCATATACCATGCTTTTTTTTTTTTTTTTTTATCCCCACTAACATCTTAAGTGCATTGCTCAGAAGACTATAGAATTTGCAGGATTCTTAAGAAAACTAAAAATTTCAAAGATCGCTCTCAGCATCTTTGTTCTATCCTATCTTGAATATGGAATAAAGTCAGTGAACCAGTCCTTCGCCACCTCCATAGAGACTGTTCAGTAGCTAAGTTCAGAAATGCTGTTCCTATGCCAGATAATCATGCCAGCTCTCTTTTAAACTCATTTTTATTTGTTCCTGGCTTCTATATTTCATTTTACAGTTTCTCTGGAACCCATTTGAATGGTTTTCAAAGTAGGGGACTGTAAACATTTGAGGCATTAATTTTGTTTTCTTTGTAGATGATGAGTCTTTCTCTCTGACCTGCCGATGTGGTGGAAAATATACTATCTCCAAGGATGAAGTGGAAGAAGTGAACTTGGTTTCCTGTGATACATGCTCACTGATTGTGGAACTCCTTCATCAGCCCTGATCTGTGCATTCCTGGGATCCTTTAACTACAGTCAGCATGGTCCAGAGGTCACTCAATTTCAAGGAGACAGATGCTTTCTTACTAGCTGTATAATATGCATATATAAGATCTTCAAGCAAATACCACTTCAGATTAAAAAATTAATTCAGTTGTTTATATGTATAACTGCAGGATTTCAAAAAAAGGACTTGCATTGTATTTCTGGATTTTTATCTGACAACTTTTGTTTTCTCCTTGGTACAAGGTTTTTATATAGTTTTAGTCTTTATAGTTATAAAGGTTTTGTTTTTTGTTTTAATCTTTAGTGTGGGGGAAGCATATACTGAATCTATGAGGAGTTGATTTTTCTCTTCTTCCCCATGTGGGTCCCAGGAGTCAAATTTGGGTCCTCAGGTTTTCAGTAAGTACCTTTACCTGCTGAACCATCTTGCTGTCCCTAATTATGAAGTTGTTGATATAAAAAATGATGTTTATAGTTATTGAAGTTGTATGCCTATTGTACTATTTCAAATTTGAAGGCATTAAATAATACTAGGATTTTGTGAACAAAGTGTGAACCTGGCTTTGCCCTAAACAAGGCTGGATATGGATCACTACAGATGTATTTCCAAGCTGCTCAAGAGGACCAAGTGTTAGGAAATGTGACTCTAGTTCTGACCCTGGATGTCTGAAGCTTGTTAGCACCTTAACTTCAGATGTAATTTAGGAAGAAAAACTTAAAAAAACTTGAAGTTCAGATTTTACTTTTTATTTAATTGCCTCCATTTAAGACTAAGGAGCCATTCATTTCATTATGGTGTGGTGAAAGTGCTCTTATAATGAATAATTACTGACTACAATAGACCATACATGTCATGCCCTACAAGACCTCTTTGTATGTAACCTTTTGTTTACAGTGTAGGTCAGAATTCATTTCACGAACACCCAGGGGCCCTATGGAGCACCTCTGATTCATGCCTAACTGTTGGTGTTGTCAGAAGAGCACAGACTAGGAATGCTTAGTCCCAGCCTTTTGTAAGACAGACAGCTGACATCTGAGGCACAGTAAACTGCTTTCATTATATAGGCACTATCAAAATTCAGATGTGACTTAGTCATGCAGATTTTCCCCCCAAGATAATTTTATATCATAAAATTTAGAAGGAAAATGTGTTTGTGATTTTTATCCAAATACTTTTAATTAATGTATATTGTAGAATGTGATGTTTATGCTTACATTTAATTAAAAACAAATAAAACTGAGTAGCAAAAGTTTATTGTTAAGTTCATGGTTTCAACTGCAGTAATACATTTATATGAATAGACAATAATCAAGTCAAAAAAGTAAATGCTTGCTAATCATCAGAAAATCTCTGGCCATTTGGGCTGTCACGCAGAAATCCAAAATCACTGAAAGGCCAAATCTGTAAAATGAAAACACAGCTGATGGCAATTAAATGAAAATTCTTTATCATATGATGTTCTCTTTTCCTGTTCTCTCTGTTAGATAATGCACTGCAATCTCTTTATCAGTTACTCTGAAAATAAATTTATGTATGTAGCCTGGGTCATTCAAACACGATACTAGAAAACATGTTTGTTTAGTATATCAATATATATTTGTGAAGACCTGTCTTCTATTACCATCTTAAAATAGGTTACATACCAATCTGTGGTATTCTATACTTTAAGTTGCTTAAACATGGCATCTGTTTAAGTATAATAAAGAATCCTGAACATTATACAGTTGTCCTAAGTACTCATGAGTTTTTCTCCTTATGCCTTTTGATAAAGGGGAGCAGGTGTGATGATGCACACCTGTAATCCACACCCATGATACCAACACTTACGAGACTGAGACAGAAGGGTGGAGAGTTTAAGGCCAACGTGGACTACAGAATGAGACTGTCTCAAAACAAAATTATATCAACCAATGAAAATGACAATGTCATCCATGCCTTATACATTCACTTGCCATATATCTGCCTATGGCTTGATGTATCTGACTGGGTCTACCAGCATTCCAAGTAGGCTGAGCCTGGGCTGCTGTTGTAGAAGTGCTTGCTAAAATGCAAGGAAATGACCAACTGTAAAAGAGATACATGGCAGAATATGATTAACTCCAAGGCTCCCTAGGCTACTATTAGTTTAGTTTGAATTTTATTATAAAAACTTCTCTTATTCCCCATAGGAGCAGGGACAGAAGAGGATAATGTTCTGTGTTTAGCTCCTAAGTAAAAATGTTTATCACATGTAGTCACTGCACCAGTTAAGTCAACCTGGCAGCCCATAGGTTTCAAAATTCAATTTGAGAACCACCCTCAACTCAGAGAAAAAGCTGGCATTTTAGGCATTAAATCATACCTTAAAGAAGATCCGTCCTCGTATTAGTCCATATGGTATTGGCCCGTAGCACCTGGAGTCTGTAGAATTCTGCAAGTTATCACCTTCTAACCAAACATGACCTGTTGGCACCTGGGATTAGTAAAGACAGCAGGCCCTTTAGAAACAAAAAAAAACTTCAACAGAGGACTACCACTAAAACTATGTCTCTTAAAAACCAGCACTATAGTGCACACCTAGAATCCCTACACTCAGGATACTGAAGTAGGGGATCATGAAATAAAAGCTAGCTTGGGCTACACATACAATGTGTGAAAGACTTCATTTGGACATACAGCATATGTCCTAATGTCTTCCTTTGTGCATGCCTCAAGAATGGCTATTTTTGCTTTCATTTCTTAATAACTAACTAAATATCAAACGGTTCTACATTTTTAAAAGATCTCTTTATTATATAGTTCCAAACATTAATTTGTCAAAACCCCAAACTAAGGTTGTAAGAAATCAAAACAGTGTGGCAGTGTCATTAATTTAATAGACTTCAAAAGAGGTCATTAGGGCTGCTGACTGAAAATGTGCCCTCCTGTTGTAATAACAGCACAAGCAGGGCAGCCAGTCAGCAACATCCTGGGGCCAGTTCCAAGGCCAGACCTATTAGAAGGCTCATGATGAACTAAGTGGTAATGGATTGTGACATCAATTATGAATAATCTCATCATTTTATTGCATTGGGCTTGTCAGAGTTCTAATTAAGACCCCTGTCTTGCCTTTGTACAGGCCATATCATCACTGCCTTATATGTTGATAATGACCATCAAGAACCAGAAGGACCTATTATAAAACCATCAGTTGTAAATTAATGACAGTGACCTTCTACTAGATGAAAAGATAACTCCTTTGTATTCACTGATAAAAAGTTTTAAGTGTTTACTCAATTGCAATCATTTTAAGAAGGTGATACTTTTCAAAAATGCATTTCTCATATAAGACCTTCTCCCACTAATATCCATTCAATATAAATTTAGAAGGTACTTTCTGTCAGCAATCTGTACACTACCTTTTTATGTTTTTATCTTAAAGTTTTTGGGATGCAGGAAAAGTTGATTCATTGACCAGACCAAAACAATCTATTGGGATGATTGCATTATTTTTGGTAAGGCTATAATTTTATCTTTTTTTGTATCACAATTTTATTTTTGTATATTTTAAGTTCATTTTCCTAAGACTATATTTCTGGGATAGATACCTTGATTAGAGGAACTAGTTTCTGGTCCTAGAGCTGATAACGTGTCTAATGACTACTTATATCATAAACTGACAGACAGGCAGGGAAATATAAGATGGTCAAATAGAAAAGCAAGTATATCTGAAGTCACATGCAAAATGAACAATGAATCTGAAAAAGCCAAATCTACCTATCATATTCTGAAGTTTTACTTACAGAGCAGATGCAAAATAAAGAGCTCTTGTGTTTATATTTCTAGTTTCTCAAAGTGTTTGTTCCTAGATTCTAAAAAACTGGTGCTATGTGTGAGTGAGTAAGGAATACCAGTAAGCCAGTACGTACAAAAGAAAGCAGCTTTACAAATAGGGTAACATTCTAAAGTCCGTGGAGACTGCTACCAGCTAAGGCCCCATGGTATTACATTCCACCTTGCTATGTGGTTTCCCTTCAGTTTGCCTGCCTTTGCCAAAAGCTCTGAGTTTTTAGGCCACTTGTCATATAATACCAACCTTGCTTGAGGTACTGGATTAAAGCAACATCCTACTTTCATGTCCTTTTTGTTGTTTTGAGACATTGTCTCATGTAGTCTGGCCCCAAACTGTAGCCAAGAGGATGGTCTTGAAGTCCTGATTTTCCTGTTTCCATCTCAAGTTCTGGGATTATAGGAATGCATCACCATGCCTGATTTTCTGTGGTGCTGGTGACTGAATGCAGGGATACTGCATTCTAGGCAATTGCTCTACCAACTGAGCTACCTCCCCAGACTACTTGTGTGTATCTCTTTTCACTGTATTTATGACAAAGTAAACAAGTAGATATCAATGCTATGATTTCATTTTTAGTTATTACTTTTTATTACCATTAAATTTTTGCTAACCCAGTGGTAAGAAATGGTAACTCTGTAATTTTATTTGCTTTTGTCTTGGTTTCAAAAATTGAGTTACCCCAACTAACAATCTGAGCAACAGTGGAAAGGCTACCTTAAGTGCCCTTCTCTGATAATGAGATTGATGACTAACTTATCTATCATCACAGTGCCCTCATCTAGTAGCTGAAGGAAACAGCAGACTCCCACAGCTAAACACAGAGCCGAACTGGAATCCAGATGCAGAGAGAGAGGAGTGATAAGAAAATGGGGACAAGACCAGGCTACAGAAACACACAACAGCTGACCTGAACAAGGGGGAGCTAATGGGCCCCCAGACTGATAGCTGGGAAACCAGCATTGGACTGACTCAGACCCCCTGAATATGGGCCTCAGTTAGAAGGCCTGGGCAGTCTAAGGGACCTCTGACAGTGGAACCAGGATGTATCCCCAGTGCACACGGCTGCTCATCACACATATGCAACTCCAGATTGAGGGGATCCAGTGCAGTCTTCTGGCCTCCTGGAGCACCAGGCATGTACATGATGCATAGACATACATGCATGCAAAACACTCACACACAAAATAATAGAAAAAAACTTGATTCAAAAAAGAAAACTCAGAACATGTAACAGGAATAATAATATCCCAAAGGCAGATACTGGAGTTAAAGCTTAAGATCAGAAAAGCAAAGCAGCCAGTCAGTAGCTCTTACCTCTACCAAGGCTGAAATGGAGATCCCGTTTTCCCTATGATTGGAAACTGAATCTCACATGAGACCCTTTGCTTCTTCCTTATATACCTCTCTAGTGCTGGGTATAAAGGCCTGAGCTGTTTCTCTTTTAGAGTAATTCACTCTTGTATAGCCCAGGGTGCTCTTGAACTCTCAGAGATCCATCTGCCTCTGTCTCCTGAGTCCTGGGATTAAAGATGTGCACCACCGCTTGGCATCTATGGTTAACTACTGTGGCTAGCTTTGCATTCTGATCTCCAGGCAAGCTTTATTAAGTCTTAAATAATATATCACCACAAGAACATGTCTCCAGAAGCTTTTGGAAGGATGTGACCAGGGCTCACAAGCAGTGCCATAAAAGAAGAATAAGAGAAAAATTAATATTTTACTTCATGTGACCTTTTAGAATAACTCGTGAACAAACACTGTTAATGATGCTATGGAAAAAGTAGGTTCCTGTATGTGAAAGCTAGATCCTGGTTATCTGATCCTCACATAGGCTATTGTATCTTTCTTATAGTAATGGAATGATCTACTTCTTTAACACTCAATGCTTCATGTAACATATATCACCCCTCAGACAGTCTCATTACTCATGTTCCCTTTAATTCAAGAGCATCTCTTATAAAAGGAAAGTCTCTTAAGTATGGATATTTTTATCTTGATAAATTCAGATGATTTTAATAGTTTGTGTAGGACATAAACAATCATATTTTTATTAATATATATTCATTGTACATAGTGTTACATTTTATATAGATAATTGCAAGCATATCATGAACTTTGACCATATCTGCTCTCCCCCTCCACTCCTGATATTCCTCCTCCTACATACTACTTTTCTCCCTTCCACTTGTCTCCCTTTTATTTTCATGTCAAAAATATGTTTATGCACATATGTATGTATGGCATGAAAGTATACAGAGTTTTATGTAAGTATGAAGAATTTTAGGAACACAAATAAGAGAAAATATATAATGTTTTTCTTCCTGTATTAGACTTATCTCAATATGGCCATCTCCACTTGCATACATTTCCCCAGCACATAAATTCACTCTTTTTTATACCTGAATAAAACTGTAACAGTGTATATACACTATTCTTTATACATGCACCTCATGACAGAGAGATTTATTCCATTAACTTGGCTATTGTGAACTTTGATGCAACAAACATGAATGTGGTATGATGATGGATAGGATGGCTGGATTATGTCATAATCCTACTTCTAGCTCTCTGAAGAAACTTCCATTCTGATTTCCATGGTAACTAGTTCAATCTACATCGCCATATAAAAACAGTCCCTGTTTCCAAAATCCTTGCCAATATTTGTTTTATGATTGTTTTGTTTCTTAATGATAGTCAGCCAAAGTGGGGTGAGATGGAAACACAATGAAGTTTTTAATTTCTGTTTCTCTGGTGCATAAAGATGTCAAACAATTTTATCATGCTGATTGGCCATTTGCACTTCATCTTTTGAAGATTGTCTCTTCATTTTATTAGCCCTTAATTGGTTTGTATGTTTTATTTGATAGTTTTCTGAGTTCTGTATATATTTTAGGTATTAATTCTCTGTCGTATGTATAGCTACCAGATTTTATCCCATTTTGTAGTCTGTCTCATTACTTGGTTATTTCCTGGTGTAGAAGTGTTTTGTTTTTGTTTTGTTTGTTTGTTTTTAAACATCATGTAGTTCCATTTGTTAGTTCTTGGTAGTTATTTTGTGACTTACTGGAGTCATGTTTCAGAATGTCCTTGCCCATGCCTGTATCTTCAAGCATTTCTTTCCTCTAATACTTTCAAATTTCAGGTCTTATATGAAGAACTTTAATCCATTTTGAAATTACTTTTGTACAGGATGTTGGGATAATCTAGCTTTGTTTTTCTGGAAAATGCAGTTTTTTCAATACCATTTTTTAGGAAAAAAAAATGTTTCTGTAATCTTAGTAAAAATAAATAATTAAACAGAAATCAGGTGGTTATGGGTGCATGGGTTTGCATCTGGGTCCTCTCTTCTAGCCCACTGATCTCCATGTCTGTCTTTGAACCAGTACCATGCTGAGTTTGCTAATATGGTTCTGCAATGCAACTTGAAATAGGTGTTGTAGTAACTTCCAGCACTGGTCATTTTGCTTAGGTTTGCCTTGACTATTGAGGAATTTGTGACTGTATATGAATTACAAGATTACCTTTTCTATTTCTGTAAAAAGCAAATGGCATCAGAATTTTGATAGAGATTGCTGTGATGGAGGTTGCTTTTGGTGGTATAGCCATTTCAGAATCCTGTGTTGATCCTTGAGAATGGGAGG